TCCTCCCTTGCAGGATTTTGTGTTGATGAAAGAGCGAACCCTAGATGAGGCCCCCCGGCCTCCCAAGAAGGCCATGGACTACTCATCGTCAAGTGAAGATGTGGAGAGCAGTGAGGATGAGGAGGAGGAAAGCAATGGCGAGCCTTCAGAGGGGAGCAGAGATACCCCTGGGGCCCGGTATGGGGCGTCCTGCGGAGGGGAAGGCACTCCCATACCCAGGCAGCAGGGGAGAAGGGCTGGGGGACTCTGGGGCAAGTCTAAGGGGAGCAGTTCCCCTTTCCCAGAGTGGGGATCCCTGGCTATCACAGCTAGTCAGTTCTTCCTTCCCATATCCAGAGAATGGGGCACAGGCTGGAGTTGCCATCTCTCTCCTACTGTCCCATCACTTGGGGTGTGGCCTCTGCAGTGCCCCTCTGTGGCCAGCCGTCCCCTAGCGCCAGGGAGGAACACCTACCATGGGGCAAGGCTGCTCTGTGAGGGCCAGGTGTAGCTGCTCTCAGTGGGGACTGAGGGCACAGTGCTCCAGCTCGCGCCTGCTTCTCTCTCCTGTACCTGAAGGGCCTCACAACCTTCCTCTCTCCCATAGCAGTGATGGAGACACGGACAGTGTCAGCACCATGGTGGTCCACGATGTGGAGGAGATAGCCGGGACCCAGACACCCTATGGGGGTGGCACCATGGTGGTCCAGCGTGTGAGTGGGCCCCCATTCTCCCCAGCATCTGCTGTTCACTCTTCTTGGCCCTAGCACTGGCCCACTTCCTTCTGTTCTCCTAGACCCCTGAAGAGGAGCGGAGCCTGCTGCATGCTGATAGCAATGGCTACACAAACCTGCCAGATGTGGTCCAGCCTAGCCACTCGCCTACTGAGAGCAGCAAAGGTCAAAGCCCCCCCTTGAAGGATGGAGGCAGTGATGTAAGTGGGTGGAGGCGAGAGAAGGGCGCTGGCAGTGGGCAGGAGGACCAGGGGTGCTCAGAGGGCCTACACTGGGCAGAAGAACCTGAGGTCTGACTGCTGTCCCCACTCCCACAGTACCAGTCTCGTGGGCTGGTAAAGGCCCCTGGCAAGAGCTCATTCACGATGTTTGTGGACCTAGGGATCTACCAGCCCGGAGGTAGTGGGGACACCATCCCCATCACAGGTAAGGACAGGAGGGCAGGTCTGCCATGAGGCCTGGAGAGGGGCATAGGTGGGCTCTGATGACACAGGTAGCTTTACAGAGCATTCTGCTTTGGCCTGGTGCCTGCCCTGATGCAGAGGCAGCAGGGCCTCTGAGGCCCCTTTGACCCAAGAGGAGAAATGCTCAGGATAGCCCAGGGGCCTGAGTGACAGAATGAGGACCTTGCCAGGCCTTTTGGCTCTATTTCAACTCCTTTGTGCCCTTCCTCCATTCTCGTCTTTCCCTTTCCTTCTGAGTGTTTGGAGAAGGCGAGACCAAATGTAGGGGTGGGGCAAGGAGGCGGGGTGAGAGGGCTGCAGCCTGTGTTCCCTCCCCTCTGCTCCTCCTGGCAGCCCTAGTGGGTGGAGAGGGCAGTCGGCTCGATCAGCTACAGTATGATGTGCGGAAAGGCTCTGTGGTCAACGTGAACCCCACCAACACCCGGGCCCACAGTGAAACCCCTGAGATTCGGAAGTACAAGAAACGATTCAATTCTGAGATCCTGTGTGCAGCCCTTTGGGGTAAGCCAGGGCCAGGAAGGAAATGGAGGGCCTGGTGTTCCCTGTGCTCCTGGTCAGGTGAGGGGGCTGGCTCTGCCTCTCATCTGCCAAGGGCTCCTATTGCAGGCGTCAACCTGCTGGTGGGCACGGAGAACGGGCTGATGTTGCTGGACCGAAGCGGCCAGGGAAAGGTGTATGGACTCATTGGGCGGCGACGCTTCCAGCAAATGGATGTGCTGGAAGGACTCAACTTGCTCATCACTATCTCAGGTATGAGTGTGGAGTAGGGGCAGGGCTGGGAGGAGAGACTCAGCTCCTGGATCCTCTGTCACCATCTGCATCCTGGGAGGAGGCAGCCCTGGCCTGGGAGCTGGAAGGGGGCCACACTCTCTAACCCTCTGTGGTACACAGATAAAAGACTTGGCCGGGAGGCAGAAGCCAGACGTCCAATGGGGAGAGTGTGTGTGTGTGTGTGTGTCTGCCCCTCAGGGAAAAGGAACAAACTGCGGGTGTATTACCTGTCCTGGCTCCGGAACAAGATTCTGCATAATGACCCGGAAGTGGAGAAGAAGCAGGGCTGGACCACCGTTGGGGACATGGAGGGCTGCGGGCACTACCGTGTTGGTGAGGTCACAAGAGTGGCCAGGGTACATTTGTTTCTGAGAAGAAAGAAACGGGGGCCTGGGACGCCTCAGAAAGCCTTGAAGCCAGAGACTGGGACCTGGGGTGGAGTGAGGTGACGGACTTGTTTGAGGGGGATGGCAGCCCAATAAGGTGAATCCCCGAATCCTCTTGTTTCCTGCCCCCAGTGAAATATGAACGCATTAAGTTCCTGGTCATTGCCCTGAAGAACTCGGTGGAGGTGTATGCCTGGGCCCCCAAACCCTACCACAAATTCATGGCCTTCAAGGTAATCCCAGAGTCCTCCTTACTCCTCCTGCCCCCACCCCCCCCAAGCACTGTTCCAAGGTCTGGCTCCTGCACCTGTGTGCACCTGAGCCCGTCTCTCCTCCGCAGTCCTTCGCTGACCTCCCTCACCGCCCCCTGCTGGTCGACCTCACAGTAGAGGAGGGACAGCGGCTCAAGGTCATCTATGGCTCCAGTGCTGGCTTCCATGCCGTGGATGTCGACTCGGGGAACAGCTATGACATCTACATCCCTGTGCATGTAAGCTTGGCAGGACCAAGGACAGAGTGGGGAGACGAGGCTGAGACTCAGACTCAGACTGAGCTTCCCTTCTTTCTAGATCCAGAGCCAGATCACACCTCATGCCATCATCTTTCTCCCCAACACGGATGGCATGGAAATGTTGCTGTGCTATGAGGATGAAGGCGTCTACGTTAACACATATGGGCGGATCATTAAGGATGTGGTGCTGCAGTGGGGAGAGATGCCCACCTCTGTGGGTGAGTGCAGTGCCACCCCCAGTGTGTCCCTATGCTGGCCTTGGAGTGGTGCTGGCTGCAGCCTACTCACTGCCCTGCAACTCCCTTTTCCCCCAGCCTACATCTGCTCCAACCAGATCATGGGCTGGGGTGAGAAAGCCATTGAGATCCGCTCTGTGGAGACAGGCCACCTGGACGGGGTCTTCATGCACAAACGAGCCCAGAGGCTCAAGTTCCTGTGTGAGCGCAATGACAAGGTGGGAGGCCCTTTCCCCCTGGAAAGGGCCCCAGCCCATGGGCAGAGCTGGGGGGGCAGGTGATGGTGCAGCCTTCCTGAAAGGCGGACCCCAAAGGGCACAGTGTGCAGGCTCTGCCCACCTTTCTCTCGCCTTCAGTTTCTGAGAACTCTCCAGAGTGCTTCACCCCTGCAGGCCTGCCAGCTGCCCTCTTCCCTGAGCATTTCTGCCTTTGACAGTGGATGGGGGCACTCTGAGAAATTAAATTCTGCAATTTCTATCTCTCTTTCCCTCTCCTAGTTAATTGAGAACCTCCCTGCCCCCCCTCCCTTGGTGACTTCTTCTCCTACCCCACCCAGGTGTTTTTTGCCTCAGTCCGCTCTGGGGGCAGCAGTCAAGTTTACTTCATGACTCTGAACCGTAACTGCATCATGAACTGGTGATGGGGCCCTGGGCTGGGGCTGTGGCACATGGATGCAGCTCTCCCACCAGCCAGACTTCCTAGGCTGCCCTTCCTTCCTCTCCCTGGGCTTTTGCTTTTACTGGTTTGATTCACTGGAGCCTGCTGGGAACGTGACCTCTGATCCCTAATGCTTTTGTGATCACATGACCATCCTATTTCCCCAACATGTTCTCCCTCCAAAACTGTGCCTGTCCCAACTTCCGGGGAGAGGCACAGCTTCCCCTTACCAGGAATCAAGTGGGCCCAGCCCCCCCTTTTCTCCACTTAAGAGGAGAGTGCTTGGGGCTTAGACCCCTGTACCCCACTGCTGCTGACTGGGCAGGGGCTTGGGCCCCTTTATTTGCACGTCAGGGGAGCCGGCTCCCCCCTTGAATGTACCAGACCCTGGGGGGGGTCACTGGGCCCTAGGTTTTAGGGGGGTAACCAGCCACCACTCCAGAGGCAGGGACCATTTCCTCATTTTCTGAAAGCACTTTAATGATTATCCTCCCACCAAACCCCAGGGAATGGAGGGGGGACCCTGCCAGCCAAAACATTTCCCTTTCCAACCTTCATCTCTTCTAGCCTCTGCTCTTCCCTAGTGGAGGGAGGGAGCAGGGAGCTCTCACCCTCCACACCCCCTTGCTTGCATCTGTATATAGTGTGAGCAGCAAGTAGCCCTGGCCCCTCCCTGTCCCTACCCCTCCTCAGTGTAGTGGCCTTGGATATCCGTTTGTTAATAAAGACAATTCAACCAGCTCCACCCATTTCAGGCCCCATTCTATTCTGTTTTCTCTCACAATGCTGGATATTAACCAGGGCAAGCCTGCAGAGCTGGGATGAAGGGGGCAGTGTGGGCAGGAATCTGCCTTGGGGGTGAGAGTAGGAGTCAGAAAGGCAGTGCTGGGCTAAGAAAAGCTAGAAGAAATGACTGAGGAAGGGCCAGGGCATCCTCAGCCTTAAACCTGTGGGCCTGCAGGGAGCTGCTCAGAGGGCCTTTGGGGCCTGACTTCCTGGCTCCAGCCTTCACCTGGCAGGTCCTGCAAATCGTTGGTCTCTCCTGTTTGACTGTCAATTGATAAATCATGAGAGGCTCATAGGGCTTAGAGGGTCACATGAGGTTGGGGCCTGAGAAAAACCGGGAAGTCAGCAAGGCTGAGTCGAGGGTGGTTCTTGCTTTACAGAGGACTGGCTCCCAAGAGCCTGCCTCAACTGGCTGCCTCTGATCCCTGCTCCGCTGCTAGACTTACACATGCGCGTGCACGCACAACTCCTCTTGGGAAGTTTATAAAATACAGATTTATTATTCACAGGGGGAAAGGATCATAATACTGCAATGGCAACAACTTGTTTTGCGAAATCTCTTTCCTCCTGGAGATGGGTGGGAAGACTGAAATCAGGGCAGCCACAGGCTTAGGTCTACATACATGGTGGGTAGGGCAGTTCAGGTACTTTATTGAAGTAGCCCCCGAGAAAGATGAGGCTGGATCCTACGGTAAAGAGCACCAGAGCAGCCCAGAAGCAGACGTTGTCAAGGGCCTTACCCATGCGCACCCACTCTGACACCTCCTGTGGAAGGGGTGGGCACAAGCTGAGTCTATGAAGGCTGCAGGGACCTGCTGCATAACTGACAGCGGGTGGGAGAGGGGGGTTCTCCGCAGCGCCCCAGCCCTCCTCTCTGGCTCCTGCCCACCTCGCCGGTAGCCTCTTCGTTTCGCTTGCTTTCGGCCACGAAGTTCACAGCATCCACACAGCAGCGGATCTCGGGAGCGGCAGTGCCCAGGCTCTGGCAGAGGGCAGCTGGTGGGGGCAATACCGGGAATGGGTCATTAGGAGCCTCCCCAGCTGCGGGAGCCTCAGTTGGTCCGACCGGTCCGCTTTGCTCACCCGTCCAGGTCCCGTGCCGGTGTCTCTGCCCCTCAAACACGAGCTCGCTCCGCGGCTTTTTCAGTATCAGCTCCTCTGCGCGGAGCAGTATACGCAGGGACGACGCCCGCCTTGGGGACAAAGGGGCTCGGGGGACTTCGGGGGGCGCGTCCGACCCCAGGAGGTGCGGCAACAGCTCCAATAAGACCTGGGGGCGGGGCGCGGATTAGCTTCAAGCCCGGTCTCCCATGTTGGAACCGCCCACCCGACGCTTACGTGACGCAGCCGCGGGGACATAGCGTGAGTGGTGGGTGTCCGCAAAGACACGTTCAGCACGATGACGCAGTTCATGACAATGAGCGTGGCAACCACCATGACGAAAATGAGGTACCTGAAGAGTGCGGAGTGCGTGATGTCACATCACAGCTCCCCCACTTCCCCTGGCCCACAGAGGGCGCCGCTCGTTCTCTGACCTCACAGACGCACCCCACCCAAAAGGTGGAGATAGGCTCCTAGCTGCACCTCCTCTGCGGGGCCAGACGCGCCTCCTGGTCCCCCTCCTCCTCCTACCGCCGGTGGCAGCCATGAAGTGGACCCCCAGCTCCCTGGAAACTGCTATGGGTCTACTACTTCCACAGCTCCACGGAGGTGAGGCTATGCCAATGGCCCCGCCCAAAGGTGGCATCTTGAGACCTTCTGGGAAGGTCTCCAGCGCCCCCTCCCGTGACCTTTGCCCCATGACCCGATGACTCCACTGTCCCAGCTCCTTCTCCAGGCAGCCCTTTCAGCCCTTGCTTCTGTCTTCTCTGGAACTCGCTGTTGGTGCAGCCCATGAATATCTGAAGCAAAGTTTCAGTGAGCTGAAGTCTCTGGAGCCGCGGGAGCCAAAGAAGCCGCCCGCCCGAAGCCCACCCTGGGGCTGGTGCTAAGTGAAGCTGCGGCCAGTGTGAGCTTCGGCGCAACCTTGTTAGAGGTGGGGCACTGCGGGGGTTGAAGAGGGGCGGGCGAGGGGGACAAGCGACCTCTGCATCCCCGCCAACTCTTGTACCCTCACTACAGATCTTAGTCCTGTGGCTGCAGCAGGAGGTGCAGTGACTAGATGGCGGCGACGGCAGCTCGGGCCCAGCCCCAGAAGCTGGGGATCCGGGTGGAGCGCTGGCCCGGGCAGCCCTGGCCGCGGGGCAGGGGGCTCGGCAAGCCGGGGCTGCGGCGGGCAAGAGCGCCCGGCTTTTCCTCCACGGGCCGTGGCTGTGCATGTGTGGACGCGGGTTGCAGGGATCCGCCTCACTCCTGCAACAATGGCGACGCCAACTGGGCCTCTCAACCTCCGGGGAACCGTTGAGTTCGGGATGTGGGAGGTGAGTTTGGAGGCTAGAGGCGGCGGGGCTGGGAGTTACTGAGCTGGCCCACCCCCAACAGAGATATTCAGGAGACCTCAAGGTGGTGTCCAGCAGCAGTACGGAGGACGGGGGGCCAGAGAATCCACCACCGTCCCAGACACAACCAGCATTCAAATAAAGTCCAATACGGGAAAGACAGCCAAAGATTCTCCCAGAGTCGTTTGGTTTTGGCTCCGCCCCATGCCCACCTGGCTCCGCCCTAAACGCTGGCCACATCCCCACGTGGGCACCGCAGGGACCCACTCTGGCCTCACCTGCCCAGCATTGGCAAGCTCAGAGATGTCTCCGGGGTTTTCTGGGCAATTAGGAACAAGAAGACGGTCTGGGCGAGCAGGACGTTGATGGAGACCGTGCATTTCTGGCCGCCGGCTGGGGGAGCACATGTGAGAGCAGGCCCCGCCCAGCAGGAGCGAGCCGGGGGGTAGGGTCGGCGCAGCTGCTTACCTTGCGCCGGCAGGAAGTAGGCGAGCAGCACTAGTCCCGAGATGAGCACGCAGGGCACGATAATGTTAATGACGTAGAAGAGAGGCTTCCGGCGAATGATAAGTGTGTAGATGACGTCGGTGTCCCCCGGACCGTCAGCGAATTCCCCGTCTTGGTGGCGGATCGCCCCGGGGCAGAAATCGATTGCCCACTCGCCGTTCTCTGCGGGACGTGGGCGGTCAGCTCGCTTTTGGGGTGAGGCGCCCTGCCCCACTTTCCGGCCCCACACTGATCCCTGTAATTTAGGGCTGTGTGCACCAGGCTGGGTGGGGCAGGTGGTCTGGACGGTTTGAGTCATGGGCCGGCAGGATGAAGGGGGCATTCCCGGTGAGGGAATGGAAGGACCTCAAGCGAGGAAGCAAAGGCTAATCTGACCACGGAGAATGGTTTCAGGAAAGGGGCAGGTTCAGTTGCCAAAGTCAGTCCCCAGTATCGATGGCCTAGGACAACCCCATTCTGCAAGTCCTCTTCTGAACCCTGTCTAGAAGCGGGTTTTTCGGAGCAGAAAGGGCCTCACCAGTATAGGCCTCCGTGTCAATATCGATCTTGCTGATGGTCTCGCCTTCATCGTCCACGGCAAAGACGAACTCCACCTCCTTGGCATTGTACGTCTGCGAGCTGCGGAGCCGGGCCGGGGCCCAAACCCCAGGAGCTCGGACTCGGTCCTTGCCTCAGGCGCAGCCCTGGATGCTGCTATCTAGGTGGGACTAACGCCGCGCTTCATTGCCCAGGCCCCGGCTCCGCCCCTAATGCAAAGATCCGCCCCCAGGGTTATATATTCCCCATCAGGTCCTGCCCCCTGATCAGTAATCCTGTAACCGTGGGAGCCTTGGAGAAATTCTCCCTACCGGAAAATGAGAGAGCAGTTCTGCCAGTCGAAGGGGAAGTAGGTGACCTCAATGGCGCAGGTGCTGCGGTAGATGGCCGGGGGCAGCCAGCTCACGGAGCCACCCTCGTAGACCAGCACGTTGGCGTCGTAGGCCACGCCGAACTGGCCGTCAATGCTGTGGGCTCCAGGAAACCGAGCATTTGCACCGGTCTGCTGCCCCCTGGCCCCACAAGCACACAAGCAACCCCTTGCCCCATCCAGGGCCAGCCCAAGCCCCGCAGGCCTCAGATTCCCCCCAGTATGGCCACACCCTCACTTGTTTTCCAGCACAATCTCTGGTAGCCATACAAGTTCTGAAGGGACCCGCAAGGTTTCTATGCCCCCAAAGTCATCCTTGCTGTAGTTGAGTCGGTAATCTTGCCAGTCCTAAGGGTTAGAAATGGAAGGACATGCGCCCTTTATCTCCCACTTCGTGCCCACAAGGAGTCTGGGAGAAAGGGATCCCTTGGACAAGACCTCACAGTGTTTCCCAGATTTGACTCACAATTCCAATCCAGACGCTGGTGGTGAGGGTCTCCTCTTTCTCATTCTGCAGATGGGAGATTGGGGTGATTAAAGTGGGGTTCCAGGGCCAGCAGTGAGCTTTAGAACAGAACCTAGCCTTTGGGGCCAGAAGTGGGATTTTAGGCTCAGAGATGGTGCCAGGATTGGGTGGTAGTTTCTTACCAGTGAGATGAGATTGGTCAGGGTGACCTTGAGGGTGATGGTGACAGTGTCCTCAGGCTCCCTCACTGGCCGGCGTTCTGGATCATAGTTGTCAAAGAGATGGTGATAAAGACGCAGCTCCTCATTCTTCCCTTCCCCCCTGCCTGGGGATGGGGCCAAGAAGTGAGGTCAGGAGATGAAGAGGTCGTGGGACCTTTCCTCTCTGTGTCTGGGTCTGCGGAGGGCTGTGCTCTTCTGTGTCTGTCTCAGGCTCTATTTTTCCAGGTCTGTCTCCTGAACCAATGATACTGTGTCTGGGAACCGAATATTGCGTCTCAGTCTACATCTTGGTCTCTGTCTTTGTCCTGTCCCTTTACGTCAGCATCTCCGTGTGTGTGTCTGTTCGACCACCTCCCCTGACCCCTGTACATACCAAGGAGTTGCAAGAGGAGCAGGACCCCGAGCATATCCCCTGCCATCCCACTGTCTGGTCCTCGGGGTTATTCTGAGCTCTGGCAGGCTTGGAGTGGGGCAGGCCAGGCTGTGTGAGTGATGGGGAGGGGGGTGTTAGTTCCGGGCTGCCTTAGGGAACTGTCACATAATCCTTTTTCTACCCCTACTGCAGCCAGGAATGTCTTGGCTGCTACCAGAAGCAGCTGCCCCATCCTGAGTTCCCTGCCCCCACTCCATCCCAGCATCCTTTGCCTGGTCTTTGGCCAAATTGCCCTGCCACAGACCTGATCCTCTCACAACTGGAGCAGGCCCGATGCAGGTGGATAGGTCCTTTAAGAGCACCTGGAACCACCAGCCTGGCAGCAGGGGAAAGGGGATCCCGCTTTGAGCATGTGCTGGTGTCCTTTGTGTAAGCTGCTCTAGGCAGGTGACATTGTTTACCTCCCATACTCACCTGTGTGGAGCACAAATTATCACCAGGCACAGCCCCTTCAAGGTCACACAAATGCAGTTTCTGCCGGCAAAGTTTGGCAAAAGCAGTCTCCATAAGGACCTAGTAATGAGACAGGCTATCACCCCGGATTAGTCTGCAGTAACAGACTCCACTTGGCAAGGGAGACCATGCTGTAATATAGGGCACACCTCCTCCCATAACCTTGTGCCCAAGCCTGCCTTCCCCCAACCCCTCACTGGCCAGACACTAGTTTCTCCTTGCCTCTCCCTGCTGCCACCTTGTGGCCCCAGGAGATAGTACTGTCTTCCTCCAACATACACGTTAATTGATCCTCTCAACGTTTCTTAAAGTCGTCCCTGACCGCCCTAATCAGTCGCCCTAATTATTATTCATATTCCTAGGCTCTATTCCCAAAGAATCCTGATTTAGGAGGATGGCAGAGATGGGATGCCAGGAATCTGTTTCCTTACAGAGCAGGAGATGCTGGACTAAGCACCTTATAAGCCTTACCCATTGCTGCCTCCCACCAACCCAGCAAAGCAGCTGCCATCATCCTGAATGTATGAAAGAGTACTCTAAGGTCAGGTCTAAAGTCATACAAGTAGATTGGCAGTAATGCATGATATTTATCAAGCAGCTTTATTGATCATATACACCTGTGTTCATTTTACACTTCACAAAACACTTCTGTGTCCATTTTGGGGTCTCCTTCCTCTACCTGTGAAGTCCCTCATAATTGCCACCGTGCTGTAGGATGTCAAAGACCAGAGGGTCCATGAAGCTCGTCCATTTCCCACACATCCCTGAAGCCTCGTTTCCACGACTAAGTTCTTACCATTCCATGTTTTCCACTTCGGAGACCCCCAGAAAGAATATTTGGCCCAGCCCACATCCTTGCACATGGCTGATACATGTATCAGCTCTAAAATTTGCACTGTGGCTTATTCCACAGCCTGTGGGGCAAAGCCTAGGCAAAAAGTTGTGACTAGTGCAGGTATTTACTCCTGCGTTAATGGGCACCTACAAGGCTCCCTGTGCAGGGTCAGACACTATGATTAGAGGATGAATAAGACATGGCCTCAAGGAGGCGGGAGAGACATATCAACAGTGACACCAGGACTGACAAAAATGTAAAAAGCAGGAGCCATGGAAGCTGTAGGTAGGGGTAGGGTACCATGTCACTTAGCTTCTTCCTGTTACAAGAACCAGAGCCCCAAGCCAAGTTTCCTGTGGGCCTACCCATGGACTGGGCAAACTGGACCAGTGTTAGAGGCCAAGGCAGCCCCCACCTTCCCTGCCTCTGTCTGCTCTGTGCACTCTCACTCCTGACCAGCCTGCCTTTCCTCTCGTCCTCATATATCCCCTTTCTGCTGTGCCGTTTCTGTGTCATTTCACCTTGGTCTTGATCCCAAATCGACCTCTTGGATTCTCTGTGCAGATGCAGCCAATTCAACCTTTTCTCTCGTTGCTTTCTGCCTGATGCCATGGGGCTGTGGGTGCAGGATGGAAAGGTCATGACGTTGGCGTAAGACTGCCCAAGGCAGGTGGCTGTGGCCACACACACAGCCAGCGCCTTCCATGCCTTCCCAACCCAGTCCACTTCCTATATATTTAGTTTCCAGAACACCCTGCCATGGTCCCAAAGAGAATGGGACCAACTGAAAAATTCACTGTATCTTTCCCAGCAGGATGGAAACTTGATGTCCTACTTCCAAACGTGATTGTGGCAGGGGCCTTCCATAAACCTCTCAACCTCAGAGTCCACTGTCCTCAGGTTTACACACAGTCTCCTCCAGGGGTGATTTCCACACATTCTCCAAACTATGGGTGAAATCCTCAATTTAATCACCGTGACTACATCATGTATAGTGTGTCACATATGCACATACCCCACATCATATAAAATACAATAGTAGGGCAAGACCACCTTTGGCCCAACAACCTGCCTGTGGGAGAGAGCAGTTTGGGGATAGAGGGAGAGTGAGTAGAAATACGCATCCCTTGATGCGCAAGCCCCCTGTATTGCAGCTTGGGACATTGGCCTTGGGCAGGCATCGCATGCCCCGGAAGAGCATCAGCCGCAGAGGCCGTACCTGTGTACCAGCCAGCTGTACCTCGAGAGCGGAGGTCTTGCTCAGATCAGTGAGTCCCAGGGGCATCTCTTGCAGAGTCAACACGACAGGAAACCCCCCGGGGAGTCTGCAGCAGGGCATCTGAGCCACTGTCTTTTACGTGGTGCTCAGGATGACTCAGGCCTGGGTGTTGTAGTTCTGTAATGAAAAATCCACAGAGCCTTAGTGGGCTGCCTCACAGTTTTGCTTCTGGGGACACCTTGAGTTCCAAGCTAGACTCAAAGATCTCAGCTCAACGGGAAGCCCCTTGCTTTACCTACTGGTTCTTGGCTGGCCCCTCAGAACAGCTGCAGCTGCCCCCTCGACCAGGCCTCCCAGGCTTCTCCTTTCTAGCTGTCCGTACCCTCAGATTGGAAATGTCCCCTAGGGGGTCTGACAAGGGCTCCCTGTGCCTGCAGTAGAAATGTTCTTTATTCTTTGGTGAGCCAGGGGTGGGGGTTTGGCTGAGCCAGGACAGGGAGGTATAGCAGACACTATCTCCCTCATTGGAACCTAAGCTCTCTGTTTGCTGAGACCTTACTGGTTTGCTGTGTACAAGGTACATGGTACAGAGCCTGGCACATAATAGGTGCTCAATAAGTATTTACTGGATAAATGAATGAGAGTAAACAAAAGAATGAATGTGTTATCTTCCCAGCACCCTCCCTCCTACTGAGAACTGTTCCCCAACCATGTGGCTAGAGGATCTTCCAGGTACTTAGAGACCCCCACCCACTGGCCAGAACTGATGGGCCCAGTGGAGGACACCTGACCCAAGTGAGGCCAAAGAGTCTTTCCCTGACATTTTTGTCAAGCAAGAATCAGAAGTCAGTCTCTGCTGTAGGATCTGCAAGAGGAAATTTAGATGCATCAGGCAGCTACATTCATTCCTCACCTTTTACGTGGAGAAAGAGAGAATGCAAGTGATACACAAGGACAAGCAGAGACAAGCGAGAGCCTTCAGCACCCCAACCCCTGATCCCAGAAATGCCAGAGACCCAGCTGCCCTTGTCTCCTCCCCTCCTGCAGGTTAGTTGCCTAGCACTTCCTGTGAATGAGGTGCCTCAGCATCTTTCCAATAAATCCCCCTTTTCTTGGCTTAAAAATACAAGACTGAAAAAATAACAAAGTAGTATAATGAAAACAAAAAATGCCCCATAACACAATACCTATAAAAGCTCTTCTGATAATAAAGTAACACATGCCATCACTAGAAAAATTGAAGAGTACAGAAAGACAATGAAAATCAAAGGCTTTCCTCTCTCCAGCCAGTCCTTCTCCCCAAAGGTTACCAGCTTCTGTAAAATGTAAACCTTTCTAGACTTAAGGTCCAGCGTTTGTATGTATGTGGAAATATATTCATGTGTACAAAAAGCATCTGACTGTTTATAATTCTGCAGGGGTTTTTTTTAATATTGTAGAGATTGGCCCATATCAGCATCTACAGGTCTTTCTCTTCTTTTTAACTCTGTAGTGTTCCACCGCATGAATGTGCCATAATAAGTTATTCTTGTCCAAAGGAGAGATATTTAAGGCATTTAAGAGACATTTTTAAAAGCCATTCTCGTTTTTGCAATTATACTATGTAACGTGAACCACTTAATGCACTTTGCTTTGGCATACTTAGGAAATATATCCACGGGGTAAATTCCTAGCAGTGAAATTGCTGGGGCAAAGAATTCATGCATTAAAAAAAGTTCTGATGTTTCTTGCCAAATTGTTCTCCAAAAACCATGCACCCACTTAGGTTCACACCAAGAGAGTATGAGAATAAGTGTTCCCTTATAACCTCCCCAGGACAGAAAATTATCCAACTTTAAAATTTGTGCCAAACCCATAGGTGAAAACTGCTATCTCATTATTAGGATTTACATGTCTTGATGAAGAAGGTTAAGCTTTTTTCCCAACAGTTGTCCTGCCTATCCACATGTTTCTTTTTCTGCAAACTGCCTATTCATATCAGTGAAACAAAATGCTATGTGTTCCACTATACGAGAATCTGCAATACAATGAGGATGAAGTAACACATTAATGTAAAAGATAAGGCTCAATCAAATACATCTGTTGGGACGACTGGAAAACCGGTTGTCAAAATAACCACCAGACCCTCATCCCTGCCTGCCAGGAGGTGGGTCACAAACTTGAGTGTAAAATGAAGCCAAGAAAGTCCAAGAATAAAAATCAAGATCGGTGTCTTCACTATCTCAGAGGGAAGAAGGCCTTCCTTCCCTTCCCTGGAGCCCAAAATCAGCATAAAGAAAAGACAAGCATATGGACAACTTCTGTAGGATCAAAAATATTAAACCAAAGGCAAGCAAATGACAGACTGGGAGGAAATCTCTGCAGCCAGTGGTTCACTTGCTCCTTTCATAAAGCACTGGGAGAAAGCCATGGAAAGCCAACAGGTGGTGGACTCACTGGAGCTGCTGGTTCTCTCCTCAAAGGTGAAAGCATGGCTGGGACACTGAGAAGCCCTTGAAAAGAGAGAAGGTGGTGGGTTCTAGCATTGGAGGGAAGCTGCAGAGCAGGGCAGGAGGGTGGCTGGCTCCTTGGAAAGATGGAATGGGTAAAGACTCATAATAACTTCAGAACGACGGGGAGGGAGGAGAGAGGGAGAGATGGGAGAGAGAAGAGGTGGCGGCAGCTCAGTGGTCCCCATGGAGACCTGCGGGACTGAGCGCAGCCAGGAGTCCCCAGGGCCCAGGAGGAGGTGTTCGCCCTTCCCCGGCGACAACTGCTTTAACTTGGGTACAGAAAACCAAAGTCCTGGGGACTTATCGGTACAGGAAAGAAAGTCCATGCTGGCCATCTTGTTGAAGGAGAGCTCAAGTCAGCTCCTCACTTCCCAGTGCTGGAAGACAAGGACATAAATGGAGAAGGGCAGCCTATTAGCAGCCAAGACTGGACAGCAGGTCGCGGGAGGCGTCTGACACACAGGCTTGGCTGCAGAGAGCAGAAGATGGTGGTGGACAAGGTGATGCAAGGATTCCCCCGACGCTGAGAGTCCAGGAAGAAAAGGCTCCAGTCAGAGAAAAACTGCTAAGAACTCCCAGTTCCGAACCAGCCCAGTGATATGAGAATC